CTCAGGGAAAGCGACAGCTGAGTCGCCTCTCGCTAGCTGAAGACTGACACAGTAGAAGAGACAGAGCAAACTATTGTTCTACTGGTGAGGAGAGAGAGAAAGAGAGAGAGAGAGAGACTTTACCTCCCCCTAGGTACAATCCAAAGATAGGATTCACAGCCTCAGGAGCGCCAATGAACCATGACGAGCATGCAATACATTAGCATTCATAAACGTCCCACCTGAGATCAGGGCCCCGCTGTGGTCAGCGTTACACAAACAGTGAGAGAAAGTCGCTGTCCCCTGGAGAAGACAGGCTGCGGAAGGGAAACGTGCGCAGACTGGAGAAGTAACTTGCCTGAGGAGGTCCCGGAGCAGAGCAAGGAATAAACTCCATGTCTCCTCTTGCCAACATGTGCTCTATTCACTAGGCCATACTGCCTCTAAACCATGCTGGATTCAAATCCAGCCTGGCAGATTAGCTCAGGGGATCTCAAGCACACCTGGCCAGCGTGGGGCTGAAAGCGGCAGTTTTAAGTTGCTGGACACATAACAGGTCACAGACTCACCACCACGGCACCTCCGGCTGGTCGTCCAGGAAGTAGCTCAATTCCAGCACTTGGAGCACCCCCTACTGGCCAGTGTCTCTCCTGCCTCAGGCCCTGTGTCCCTCCCAGACCCCAGTGCCCTTTACCCTGGGGTTCTGCCCACAGCAGTACCCCCACTCTGGGTCTCCCCCCCCCCAGGGGAACCCCCAACCCTCTAAGCCCACCTCACCTTAGTGGCTACTGCCAGTCGTCATCTAGCCCCCCTGCACTGGGGCAGACTGCAGTCTGTCATGGCCACTCATCACTGGGGTTGGACCTGCTGCCTTTCTTGGCCCCGCTGTCTCCCTGCAGCCCCAGTACCTCCTTTGGCCTTCAGCAAGGCCTCAGCCTGGGGACTCACCAGGCCAGAGCTCCCCAGCACTGCTCTATTTCAGATCCCCTGTGCGCCCAGGCAGCTAGGTCCTTCTCACTCCAGTCTCCTGGCTCACAGCCCTTTTATCAGGGCCAGCGGTGCCCTGATTAAGCTGGCCACACCTGGGGCCAGCTACCCAGCCAGCCTCCCTCAGCTGCTCTTAATCCCTTTTCTAACTGGGTCCCCGCCACAGCCCTCTCCAAGGGCTGCTTTTAACCCCTGCTCTCCCAGAGGGGTCAGCCGTCCCGCTACAGACACCAAGTAATTTTATTTTAAAAGTTACTAAAAATATTTAGCCAAACAAGAAATGGTTCTGGCAGGCTGGCTTTAACCGGCTCTCCCTCGCTGCCAACTGGGGGTGAGGCTTTCACTATTCAGTCACGGGAGTTACTTCACATACCCGAGGGCCACCATGACCAAACAAATGTCACATTTATTAACTGGGGCTATTTGAGTATTAAAGAAAGCGGGGGAGCCAATCAAACAAGCCGGCAGAATACAGGCACTGAACTGGCAACTTCCGTTACAATCTCAGCTGTCTCTCTGGAGAGTTTAACAGTGATTACAGTGCGCAGGTAACGGCCTCTGGGGGCGCGTCTCTCTTGGTAAGAGAACGCCCAAGTCTGTTATTGCAAATCCATTCTTTTGTGTATCGTCAGCCAACTAAGAATGTTCACTGATGGGCAAACAAATTTTGTTTCAGGGCCGGTGGACCTGCTGGTGATTAATAACTAACCAGCCAGATTAGAAGTGGCAAGGTAAGCGGTCTTAACGGCATCCTATGACATTGAAGCAAATGTTTAAATCAGTTGCTTAGAAGAAGCCATCGAAGGAGCTGTGTTTTAAAACAGGCCAATTACAAATCTTAAATCCAGCTGCATTCTACGGGGTCTCTTTCCCAGCGTTTTAGCCCGTCTCCTCTCCAGGAATACCTAGTAGGACAGCATTCCAATAGTCCAACAAAATCCTTACAAGAGTTTGAAGTCTAACCCCTTTGCAGCGTCTCAGTTCACTCCCTCTCACCGACCCACACTGAAGTCTTGGGGAGGTTTCCCTTGAGATGGTTTCTCTGCCTTAGCCACAAGCCCATCTCTCCTGCCACAATGAACTGTGTCAACTAGCAAAGTTAATCCCCCACCCGCCTAGGGCTGAACTCTCCAGGAGGGCTGGGCAGAACGAGCCGCACTGAAGAAAGGGATCCATCCCCAACCTAGTTTTCCGGCACAAATAACTTCCTTGGGGCCTGGTCACGTGTGCCGTCCGACATTTGGGCCTCGGCAGAGTTTTGTTAGTGTATTAGTAGGATAGTGGTTTTACATCGCATGGTTCTTTACCACAGTGCAGCCAGAGGGTCATCTGGAGGGAAGGGGCCCCACGAACGGGCACATGGGGCATGCAGAGCAGTGACTCACCAGCCAGCAACACACCCCATCACGGCTGGGCATGGCATTCCCGGATGACCTCTGCTGACGTCCCTGCACGACAGCTGCTCCAGCCCTGCACTGATCCAGCCGCTTCTCCTAGTCAGCCCTCCGGCCAGCTCACTTACAGCCCCCACGTTCCAGGCGGAGACAGGTTCCACCACCCAGCAATCCAGTAACCTCATGCCAGATCTTCGGCCCAATTCTGGGCTCAGTTCCTTACACCCCTTCAATATGGGGGTGTGGGTCACACAACCTTCCTCCGGGGCCAGTTCTAGGCCAGGGACCCTGGAGCAAGCCACTGCAGTCTGCTCCCTCAGGCCCCTGGACCACTTCCAACCTCACCCTGTCTCTAGGCAGCTCCTGCCTGGGCCCCCTCCTCCACAGACCCTTCACTCCTTCCCAGGCTCTGCAGAGCCCCTTCCTGCTCTTGGACCACACGCCGCCTGTCAGGGCTTTCTCCCTGGAGGACCAGCTCCTGTCTGCCTCTCCCCAGACTGTCAGCGTGTCCACAGCTCTCTGCCTGCCATTCGCCAGCAGAGGATCCTCAGACCAACTCACCTCCCACCTCCCCCTAGTCCCCTGGAATCCTTCCTTCCTTAGCCACCAGCTGGGCCTGGCCCACCCTCCAGGTGCGGACAGGTGCACTAATTGCCCTCCCGCTCCAGTTAACTCTTTCTCTGCCAGTGCGGAGTGCATGCCCCATCCCCAGGCCCCCAGGGCCATTCCCTCCCTCTGCTTCTGGGAGGGCAGAGTCACACCTGGAGGGGGCATCCCGCCCCGAGACACCGGCAAGGCAGAGCCAGCGGGCTGAGGCGGGGAAGGGTTCAGGAGAGATGGCAGAGATCAGGGCGGCTCCCAAAGAGAACAAAAACAACAAGGCAGCTTAAAGACTAACATATTTATTTGGGCATAAGCTTTCGTGGGTAAAAAACCCACGTCCCAAAGCGGACGTTTATCTGCTGCTTTGTAACCTGGATGACCCGACAGACCCTGGCTGTTCCCAGATGCCCAAAGCAGCAGCCGTCTTAAAAGCCCAGATCCTCAAAGAGATCTAGGTCCCTAACTCCCATTGAAATCATGCACCTTTGAGGACCTGGGCCCAAGAATTTGTTTTCCAGCTGCACTTGGGTAGAAAGCGTCACTCCTTCCATTCAGCCATGGACTTCATCTACTTCCCCCGGTCATGATGGGGTTTCATTCAGTATGTTTCTAAAACGCTTTGAGAGGGAAAGAGCAAATTCTATTCTCAGTCAAAACACCGGCTGTCTGCCATGTTCCTATTGGCCTGGCAGCAGTAAAATGAACACACATTGTTGCAACTGATGTTCTACTCAGTGCCTGCATGTCATCGACTAGCCTGGAGACAAAGCTGGGCAGGGCAGCTGCTCGGGCAGACTGGGAGCTTCTAACCCGCTTTGACCCACCTTGAGATTGCACTTGCTGGAGTTTCTAGTCTACAAAAATTAAAAGGCAGAGCCTCATCTGACGCAAATCCGTGTCGCTCCATTTAAGTCAGTGGGCCAGATCCCCAGCTGCTCTAAACTGGCACAGCTCCGCTGAAGTCAATGGGGATTTTCACCAGCTGAGGAGCTAAGGATTTTATTAAGGAGAAGACAAGCTGGTGCTTTGCGATTCTTCAGCCCCCAAAGTGGTACCACCAGCCTCGTGAGTCCAGGTCCCCCCAAAACCTCAAGGTTGGCTTAAAAATCAAGATTTTTAAAAATAAATGTGGCGTTCTTTCTCTTTGCCTTCTACTTCCGGAGCTTTTAGGGTACATTGGGGTCACATTTCCATGTTTTCCTCTGCAACCAGGCAGGCTGGAAGCTTACTAGGAACAAAGGAAAGCTGAGATTCCTCTGGCTCCGGGAGCTGGGGCTTTCAGAAAAACACCACATATCACAAGACTTGCAGTACTGTAAAGGGAATTTCTCCCAACCTCTTGGGCCAGGTGACTTAGACCGGAAATATCATAAGCACAGACTATGCCTGAAAATCTCCAGTGCTGGCTGCTTCCAGGGGGCTGCCCATAATCCAAACGTGGGGGGGGGGGGGGGCCCGCTGGTTGCTTAGTCCTGTCTTGACAGAGAGACCTTGGTACAAGCAAACAACCCCCTCTGCCTTCTCTAGGAGTCGCCCCACCATCACCACCACAATCCCTGCCCCCAACCGCATGCCAGAGCCGAGGGGTGAGCCGCCCTCTTTGCCCTGGAAGCAGCAAAGTGCAGCTCACTGGGCAGGTGGGGGGAGTGGGAAGCAAACTCCAACATCAAGCCCCCCCTCGCTGAGAAGCCCCTGCCCCCAGGTCACTCAAGCCTCCCACCCCGCATGCTGATCTCAGCAGCCGGCGGAGACAAGTGTTAGTTCTGGGGCCCCTGCAAAGTGGTTCAGTCACAGCTCGGGGTGGGGGCTGATGTTACATTGTCAGGAGCCTGTTTGTAACCCCCCTCAGCATCACCGCCGGCTCGGGGAGGGTGTCCCTTTTCCCGGGCAGAGCCTCTGGGCCTGACCCTCCTTGGACTCAGGGGTCGAGGCAGCGCCTGGGATCAGGGCGGGGAGAAACGGGGCCGCCATGCTGTCAGGGAGCACAACAAGTGGGCTCCTCTCCACGGGCAGGGAAGGACAAAGCCCCCCTTCCCTCCCCGCCCCCCCCCCCCCAGCTTCCCGGCTCCGGCAAGCGCTGGCAGGGAGAGCAGCCAGGCGAGAGGGGAGGTGGCTAAAGCCCGGCTAATCCCCCAAGGAGCCCTGACTGGCAGAGAGCTGCCTTTTTTCTTCCCTTCGGTGTGTGCACGTCCGTCTGTCTCTCCTCCGTGCGCCGCGCCCGCCACCTGCCTCCTCTTCCCCTGCAGCTCGCCGGAGACATTGCCACGGTCGCCTGCAAACTTGGGGAAGGGGGGAGCGAGGGAGGAGGAATAACCGAGCGCCGAGGAAGAAAAAAATAAAACGGGGGGGGGGGTTGGGAGGGGGAGCTGGGTCTTCTGTCCGCACCTCGGGCGGGCGGCGGAGCTGGCTTGGGAACAGGCGAGCCGGGGAGAGAAGAGATGAGCCCCCAGCTGTCCACGAGGCGGATGAAGAGAAGCCCCCCATGATGGGATCCTGCGTGTCCCAAGGTGAGTGCCATCCAGCGTGGAGGGAGGACTGGGGCTGGGGGGAGGGGAGAGAGAAGATGACTCGCACCTGCCATCCAAAGGCAGCTGCTCTCCAGGCCAAGGATTGTGTCTGCCCCCCCATGGGGGTGTCTGCCCATTCCCCGCCTTGCCAGCCAGCCCCTCGGATGCGCGTGTGTGTGTGTGTGAGGGGGGGTTACTGAATATAACAGAGACTCAGGACAAGGAGTCAGGGAATGGCTTTATTCCCTGCTAGTTGAAGGCTGTTGGATGGGGGGGCAGGGGCAGATCTGGGGGTGGGGCATTTAGCTTTTGCCTTTACTACAAGGCTCTCCTGGGACACTGGCTGGAACTTCACTCATGTGCTGGGTAAAAGTCCCCATGCTCCAGGGCATAAACAGGACACTTACTGACGTGGGTCAGGCAGAAACTGCCCCTAAAGGCAGGTTATTCCATCTGTGTCCACTAGGGGGTTTCTTGCACCTTTGTCTGAAACAGCTGTTTCCAGCCACTGTCTGGAGGGAGCCCTGGTCTGAGCGTCATAATACTCCCAATCTCCCCCTCCCGAACCCCAGCCTCCTGCATCTTGGTCAAGCCCCTTCGCGTCAGCCCTGGTCCCAGAGCAGCAGCTGCCCTGCACAGCCAGGATGAGACAGACTCTGCCACGACAGGTCCTGCCTTGCTGCATGCAGACAGCCAGGTACCAGTCTTCCAACCCCGGGGCAGTGACAACTTGCCACATCTCTGGGACAGTCACTCCAGGAGGAGCAGGCAATAAGGGGAGGCATTTGGTGCTAGGTGGGAAGCCTGGGGGAAGCGAGCATCATCGAGCTAGAGGTCCCCGTTGTTTGCACCAGTGTGAGTCCACTGAGATCGGTGGGATTACTCCTGATTTATGCCCGCATACACAGAATCGGGCCCAGAATCTTTCCCACGCATTGCCCCAGGGTGATTTCAGATGGTAAAACAGCCCTGAAGCAACCTGGGTATGGGAGTTGGGACGGCAGCGTTCTGGGGTCTAGTCCCAAAAACCCTGGTCAGTCCTCAGCTTCCATGGGCAACTTGTATTGAATTCAGCCCAGAGAGTCATATTTTCCAAGGAAATATTCCCTTATAACAGAGGCTTTCATCCTAAAAGCTGCATTGCAAAGCAATTTGTAATGATCGTTTCATTCCACGCCAAAATGCAGCCACCTCTGGGGTGCAGTGCGCATCGCCACGGAGAAGGCTGCACACTGGGACTAGCCTCCACGTGCCAGTAAGAGCCAGTGGTGAAGACTCCATAACGCACAAGGAAAGCTGGTGTCAGCATGTGTTCCTCATGTACTACTGGGCTGCTTTTTAAAGTGAGTTGGGTGTTGGTGAAAGGTTGGAGCCTATTTGGTGATTGGGACTGGTGGGCAGAGCCCATCAAAGCAACGGAAGGCCCTCGGGTGAGGGAGGGGCCCCAGGGCCCAGAAATATACTGAATACTGGGGACAACAAATGAACAAACCAGGATGGGGAAACAGGTCACAGGGGCAAAGCAAGGGGTCCAGAAGGGGACACAGCGCTGAGGACACCAGCACCCACCATGCCGAGAAGGAGGCCAAGGAGACAGTGGACGCTGCGCATAGGAACCCTGCCTGGATGGACAAGGGACTGGGAAAATGCTCCCACTGGCAGAGACGCCCCTGTCCAGCTCCCTGCTTCTGGACTGATGGACAATCACAGGGAGTTTGATGGGGAGGTCTTCGGCCCTTGGATGTGAAGGGCTTAGAGGTAGAGGTGTGGGGGGCAAGAGCAGACAGGAGAGGTGACAGGCCTGTACCCGTAGCGAATTCTGCTTAGCTCCAACACCTGCACCACAACGCCCTGCATCCTCTGCCAACACTCCCTTGCCAACCCAGAGGCAACCGCTGGTGAGGGCAGGGGCCACTCAGGGTCTTGGCGTCTCTCCTGGAGACTGCTGGGTGTGCAGGTGATATTTAGGATGTGGAAATCAGTCTCATGGGAAAACTCATGCCACGCCAGCCCTGAGATAGCACCAGCTTTTAAATCATGACTGATTTGATCTGAATACAAATTAGAGATGAAAGGCCCGTTACAAAGTCCAGGAGACACTGGAGCCAAAACAGACCAGGGACAGAGAGTGCCATCGGCCAGATTCTCCAAGCACATGGAGTCCTTTTGAAAACATGGCCCCGTGCGCACAGCTAGGCCTAGACAGGCCCTTGTCATGACACATGTCACCTTACACCGCGAAGGCTATGCCTCCCCGGGAGCCATCGTCCATTTCCCTTGAGTCACGTATGTTTGAATCGCTCGGGATCTTCACAGCCAAACGGTGCAGGTACAAACAGTCTGCACGGCAGGGCTTTTCCATGGCTGTGTGTCTCGGTCCTTCTTTTGCTTTCAGAGCAGTGAGGGGACACCTTGCTGTTGGCTGCTGGTGAGGTGTGATCACACCAGGGTTCTTGATAAGGCCTCAGCTCCAGGTGGACCCGGGTGACAAGGACAAAGGGGGCCACACTCGCACTGAGCCTCCCAGGAGCAGCGTGAGGGGAAATCTGTAAATATCTGTGTGGCACTTCAATGGTGTAAGTTTAAGGGGGGCAGTGTGGTCTAGTGGACAGAGTGTGCGCTCACACTTCAGAATACATGGGTTCTAGTCCTGGCTCCACTAGGTGACCTGTGGCAAGTCATTACCACTTATTGTACCTCAGTTTCCCTGCCTGTAAAATGGGGGTAATGCTACCAATCTCCTTTGAGATCTACATCTCTTGTGCTCTGTCAAGCTGCCTGGGGTAGGACACCCCTCAGAGCTCCAATCTCAGGTCAGACTCACAGGAGTTGAAGACAAAAACCAGCCTTGTAAAAATAATCCACTTTTTCAGTTACTACAGGATTTCAGAAAATACAAATCCACCCAAATCAACACTGGCCCGAAGAAGAAAAAAAAAGCCCACCCAATTGTGCTTTTACATTATCCCAAAACACCAACATTTTGCAGTTCCTCTTAGTGGGTGGCTGTTACAGACGCTTCTAATTTCACACCCACCCACATCAGAGCAGACGGATTAGATCTGGTGCGGTTCAACTCCGGGGAGAGCTGTGTATTTAAATGCTTCCACTCCATTTGGAAAGCTCCGGTTTCTCTTTTAACCAGATCCAGGCACATTTTATATAGGGTGTGTGTGTGTGCAAAGACCTTGTACACACACACTTAAAAGCCTTAAGTGCTGCCGGAACCGGCAGAGGAGAGACTGCTTATGGAGAAGCAAAGCCTTTGAAATGCCCTAGGTTTGCACCAGACCCCATGGCACTCTGCAGATACACCCCCTATACATATCTGTAGAGAAGAGGAATTTTATCCTCCCAAGGCCTTAGCATCAGCCTGTGGCATCCTTCCCTAGATGTGGCCTTGTGAGTCTGGGCAGGAGTGGCATACTGTACTTGTGCCTATGACTCACCACCCAGAACCGTCGGTTACACTTAATAATATTACTGTCTGCAGAGCCTCTTAGGTGGAGGATGCCGCCATGTGCCATGCACTAGGGCTCTGCCCGCTGGGAGCCCGGGGGAGATTAGTTGCTGGGGAGAAGGATGTGAAAAGGGAGAACTCTAGCGAGCTCGTTAGCACCTGCTGCAAGGTGCTGCTTGCAAAGGAGCCATGAAAAGGGACCAGTGCTACACACAGCATGGTGTTCTCAACTGCGCCACCCGGAGCCAGGCTATGCAGGGGGCCTGAAGCTGGAAAAGAGATTTGGCATAAAATGTAAATAAGATTCAGAACACCGCCTTCTCAGCTAGCACTTTTCACCAATAGAACTCCAGGCACTGTGCACAGGAGGGCAGTCTCATTATCCCATTTTACAGATGGGGAAACTGAGGCACGGAGCAGGGCTGGGACTTGCCCAAGGTCACCCAGCAGCAGAACTTGGACTAGGACCCAGGTCTCCAAAAGCCCAGTCCTGAGTTCGTGCTACCAGGCCAAACTGTTGAGAAATTCTCCCCTTCTTCTCGAATGTGTTTTCCAGAGTGGGTGACTTTATCCCCGGATGCCCTGCTCAGAGCCCATCTCCATGGGGGAGATTTTCTGTGTTTGTAGAGCGCCTAGCCCCATGGGGCCCTGTTCCATAGCTGGAATTTCCACCTGCTGTGAAAATACAAATAATAAACACTAATAAAAAAACCAATTCAGCTCAGCTGCTTAGCGAGCCATCGCGTGGACCCTGTTTGAGGTGGTTCAAAGAGTCCTGATCTGTTCAGACTTCGCCAATTTCCAGAGGATTGAACTGCTTTCAGGACCAAGGTGGTTTTCGTTTTGACCATTTGCGTGCGGGAGCCGTTCACAACCGCTTTGCTCCAGCGCCAACCGCTGCACGAGGCGTAGGGCGATCGAGAATCCCACCCTGTTCGCTTGAGGGACACAACCACGTTTGGCTCCCGTTCACCCTGCAGGAGCCAGCACGGGGTGAGCTGGATTCAATTCTGCCTCACGCATCATCGCCAGAGCTGGCCCCTCTATTCCCATCCGCCCCATTGAAGACGAGGGGGCTGCCCGGGTGTAGAATTTGCCAGCTGATCCTTTGTAACTGGTGATGGATGGGGAGAAGGATGAGAACCCCCAGCGTGACCCTCAGAGCCCGGAGGAGTTTGCAAGGACGGGAGCTAAAAAGACCTCATCTCTTTACTCAGAAAGGGGACACATTTGATCTGGAGTCACTGGAGGCCTAGATCCTCAAAGGTATTGAGGTGCCTGAAATCAATAGAGGATTTGCCGAAGTACCTTTGAGGACAAATAAACATGGGGCCTCACAAAACCCTTTATATCAAGGCACATCTCTGAGCAGAATCACACTTGAAAGCTAATTTTCTGCCTCCATGATATTCCTCCCCATGGTCAGGCAGCCGGGGGCATCAGAGCCAAAGCTGTGAACGGGCTGCATTGTCTGAGGGAGGACAAGGGCTTCCCGCTGAGGAAGCTTGCAAGGTTTCAGCGGGGCAGGAGAGGGCCCTGAGTTGAAAGCAGGCGCCGAGGGTGCAGCGGGGTGTGAGAACATGGTTTCCAGGAGGAAGTGCCAATGGCTTTTCAGGAACTGGGGATAAAATACATAAAATCAGCTGTGAAAGGCAACGCGGCCGCCCGCCGGGTTCTCAAAGGGGATGAGATTTTTAAGGGTATGAGGTAAGGTTACCAGACAGCAACTGTGAAAAAACGGGACAGGGGGTGGGGGGGGGGTAATAGGTGCCTATGTAAGAAAAAGTCCCCAAAACAAGACTGTCCCTTTAAAAATGGGACATCTGGTCACCCTATGAGGCAGATGTTGAAATCAGATGGAAAACACAGAGGGCTGCAGGGCACGGTTTGCTCTGAACAGTATCTTGGTGACTCTAGGTGGCTTCATGCGTCGTAGTCTGGACCCCCGTGCCCCGGCCAGATTCCAGCGCGGAGAGTTGTTCTAAGCCCTCCCTATGTGGAAGGGACACACAGGTTCCCATACAGACCGAGGCCCTGTCTAGATTAGGGTCTGGAAGGTGTTAGCTAATGTCTTAACAGCCTAATGTAGACAAGGCAATGTGCCTCAACATGTGTTAAACGGGCTGAGTTAAAGCCTACCCCGCGTGAGCTAACGCCTTCCAGACCCATGTCTAGACAAACCAAGGCCTTCACTGGCCCTGGTGTGTGTCATGCACATGGACAGTGTTGTCAAATTTAGGGCATGTCGACCCCATAATCCGGGGTGCGAATGCAGTGTAGGTAGATGTACCCGCGCTAGCTTTGATCTGCCTAGCACGGCTGAAAATAGCCATGAAGATGTAGCAGGAGGGGCTTTGGCACGGGTTGTACCAGCCTGTTGGAACCCTGGATACGTCCTCACGTTTCAGGCCCATGCTGGCTAGATCACAAAGCTAGGGCAGGTATGCTTACACCTACAGCAGGGCCAACTCCAAAGGTTGAAAAATCAGGAGTCCGGCTCACCAGGAATCATGAGATTGGCTTTAAAATCATGAGATTATATAAAAATAATAGATTTGGGGCTCTTTTTATTTGCCTTCTGCTTTTTGAGCCTTTAGGGGGTCACATTTTGAAGCTTTTTCCGCAGCCATGAGGGCTAGACACTTCTTTAAGAACGAAGGCTGAAATCATCACAGATCCACCTGACTCCAGGAGCTGGGGCTTTACGGGAAACAATAATTATCATGGGACTTGTGACAAAATCAGGAGAGTTGGCAATGCTGCACCTGCCTGCACTGCTTCGCACCTCTGTACCCTAAGGGGCTGAGCATTCGGATGCTTACTCCGGCGGGGTCATGTTTACTGCTGTGAGCTAATCCCAGTGGAGCCAACGGGGCTGTTCCCAGTAGGAAGTCATGTGACGGGGGCGTAGGAGTTTGGAGGCCCCACAGACCTGAAGTTCGTCAAAGCAGGGCGCTTGTCATCGTGCATTGGCCTGCAGAGCACCAGGCACGGCGGTGGTGAGACAGAGATCCGAACGGAGGCAGATGTGGAGAAGGTGCCATCTGAGCAGGCTGGACTGGAGTGCAGGTAAGGGAGTAGGTGACACCTTCCCCGAGCAGGTGGATGAGGGTGGAAGAGAACCAGCCATGGGCTCCCTTTTCCAGGCCCAGCACGGTCAGCCGGCTCCATCAGCAGCTCTGCTAGTTTCCCCGCAACGCTCTCTGAACATGCCACACTGGGCGAGGAGTACAGGAACATCCTTAGCCGATCCTCTCCCTAGCAAACTCCCGGGAGGGCACGGCCAGCGGGAACAGAGGCAAAACTGGTTGTGCACTCAGACGTCGATGAGGATTGGGGGGGAAGGACAAGGCAGCACAAGTCCTTGCTCCATGCTAATGCTGAACCCAGACTGCTCCAAGGGGCCTTGTGAAGAGAGAAGGGGAAGTGGTTGTGGCCTTTTCGCTTCCTGAGGATGGATAAAGAAGGCTGGAAAAGGTTCGTTTCCTAACTCTGTCCCTTTGAAATATCTGCTCGTCTCTGGTCCTGGTGGAGGACTCCTTGGAGATCCTAGAGATGGAGGATGTCAGCGCTCTTCAGGCTTAAATTGCAGCAGAGAAGGTGTCAGAGCTTTAGCAAAGGGGCTTTTGTTCCCAAGCGTTTGCCGTGTGTTTGACTCAAATGCCTGTTTAACACAAAGCAAACCCAAGAGGTTTAAAGAGTCTGAATAAAATCACCTCTTCCCCCCCCCCCCTCAGTTAATCAGCTTTTACTCTCATGACACTCCTGAGGCTAGGATCTGACCAGGTCTCCAACCAGCCCTAGTGTCGCCCTGGAAACCCAGAGTAGACAAGACCTGAATTTTGAATGCAAAGTAAGCACCAAAGAGAAAAAATCCAAAGCTGCCTTCCAGGCCTTGTGTGTCCATCCAGGCATGAAAGGGCCCAGGGCCCAATTATATTTCCTAACGCGGGTCACCTAGAAGAGATAGCCCCAGCACAGGGGCTCTCGCAACGGCCTTTGCCCGTCTCTGTTACACTTCACCTCCCTGCCTGTCTTCCTGAGCTTTTCCTGCTGCTTGCCTGGCCACGCAATTTATTCTGTGGGCCACAAACACCGCGTTAGAGCGAGAGCTGTGCCTGGCATTTCCCACGAAGGGCCCTCGACTTTAAAATTTGTTCTCCTCTTGGTCCAAACCAGGGGCGGCTCCAGGCACCAGCGCACCAAGCGCGTGCCTGGAGCAGCAAGCCGCGGGGGGTGGCCCGCCAGTCCTGCAGTTTCGGCGGCGGGTATGCCGAAGGCGCGGGACCGGCGGACCTCTCGCAGGCATGCCGCCGCATCCGCATGAGCAGCAGACCTCCCGCAGGCGTGCCACCGAAAGCCGCCTGACTGCCGTGCTTGGGGCGGCAAAATACATAGAGCCGCCCCTGGTCCAAACTACTCCAAATGCATTGATGTGCGGGGAATACTGTAGGGTGCATGGGCTTTTTTGCCTTTGGGGATAGAATTAGCGATGGCTAGGGCCTGTCTAAGTGGGCTCAGGTAATTCTCCTCTATTTGATTGCCCTGGCGTGTGGCTACACGGGTCGGAGTTGTATCTGTTGTATGGACCAGGTGTGTCAATTGGTGTCCTAGCTCCCAGCGCTTTAAGGGCAGGTGTTTTCTCATCATCGCCAGTCTGCCCACACTACTAGGTGCATCAGGCAAACAGCCCAATTACCCCCAGCCTGCACTCATTTCCCACCATTTTTATATTCAGATGCAGTAACTCTCCTTCAGCCATTATCGTGCTGTGTTCCAAATACATCCATCCTTTCTTCTGCAGCATTAGCGTTGATGTCGGTAGTTGTGCCTGGTCTAGGATCTCTTCGTTGCTGATTCTGTCACCTGCACTGAAAGCTGTTCAGTTTGTACTAGAGGGACTTATTATTTTTCCAGGCCTTTGCTCCATATAGGACATGTAGGACGTTGGTTCTAAGGATCTTGTGTTTGGCGTTTTTGCTAATTGCATTGAACTTCCTCCTGTGCTGAGTTTTTCACATCCGGCACTTGCTTGACCTCTTCCAGACTTTCCATCAGACATGCAATCACCACGAACGATGCTGCCCAGTTCAGTAAATGTATTAATGGTTTTCAAGCCTAATTAAATAAAATAAGCCTATCAATTCTAATCATTATTGATTATCAGCACTGAGGCAACGCCTACGGGTCCAGCCCCGTGGTGCTAGGCGCTGTACAAACATAAAACAAGCCAAAGTTCAAACCGCCTGGTCAGCTCTTGAGGGATTACTAAAGAGCACTGCTGCAGGAGGGAGGGAGGTGGCCATTCCTGCCAAGGAACACTCCTGGCAGGCTGTGCCTCAGTTTCCCTAAATACTGACAAGGGGAGTGTGAGGTTGAACCATTAACATTTGTGGAGCACTGGGTGGCTGTCAGGTGGAAGGGGCCAGAGAGGAGCAGAGGGAATAGATAGATACAGTATTAAGTGGCATAGAAGCCACTGAGAGAGCCTCTGGATCCCCACAATGGCATATTTTGATCCATAACTTAGACCTGTGTAACAGGCTCCCTTCTCCACCCTCGGGACCACCCAAAGAGGCTGGATGCTTCCAAGTTTATAAGCACCTGTGTGTTATTTGCTGGATCTCCTCCACCAGTCCAGCAACATGCCATGGGAAGTAAGCAGCCTCCTTCGCCCTCTCTCCAGAGATCTCAGGATCCCACAGCCTCTGCCCCTTGCACTTCCCTCCTTGCCTTGACCTGTTGGCAGCTGGCAGGTTGATTGCTCGCTTTAGCTCATCAACCTCGTACCTAATCAAACCATTGAGCACCCATCCCCCCAGTTAAATCCAGCCCAGCGGGGACTAGCTAATGCCTCAGCGAGCAGAACGCTGGGTCTGTGCTCGGCTCCTAGCACTCTGTCACACCTAGTGGGAAATTTTCCACGTAAGCTGTTTTTGATGGAAAATTAGGTCTTCGACTAAACAAAATTTTTCACAAAAAGTGTCTGCTTTCCTTGAAAAATGGTGACATTTCGTCAAAAAGCGGAACACCTGAAAATCAAAATATTTCTATTTGGAAATGCTGCCCCAGTGCCCTATGGGAGTTGTAGTTTGGCTATTTCACGCTCTCATTCACCTCTGTGGGCCAAGTTCTTCATCAAACTACATATCCCATGAGGCACCAGAGCCATGGACTCCTATGATGCACTGTGGTAGCACAGCAGGCAAGACCATGGTGCATCATGGGAGATGTAGTCTGGCTGAAGAGCTTGTCCTATAGAGGAGAATGGGGACATGAGGCAGCTGAACTACAAGTCCCATGAGGCACTGCAGCACCATTTCCAAACTGAAAGTTTTGGGGTTCAATTTTGGGCCAAAAAGTTGAAATTTTCCATCTCCCCCCTCCCCAATTTTCCAAGCCTCTTTTTTATAACTGCCCTGTAAATAGATAGCAAAGTAGGGTTACCAGGCCCAGCCCGTCTCTCTCTCACCCATCTCTTTTCTCCTTCGGTTGCAGAATTCTTCACAAGTGCTCAGAAGGAATATTCCATCGCCAGCCACCCACAGTGCCCTCCTTCCACCCACCATGACAGTCAGCAAGTGCCTGCAGCTGCCCTGGAGAAGAATAACAGCAAGGTAACCAAAGAGTCAGGCCCCAGGACAATCATCACAAGTGCTACAGGAATATGCAATCTATGTGTTGTGGCCCCTTCCAGCAGCTTGGCCTCAGTGAGACAAACAGACAGTGGCTGCTGCCACTGACTAATGGAGTTAGCTCCAAAGAGCTGTCCTGTGCTGCTGAAGGACCTGGGTTCGAACCCTGCTGATGACCTGTGAGGGTGGCTGTTATAACTGACTTCTAGTTGCTGTTTGGCAAACAAACCTTGAGGCTTGTAATGGTCTGGTAGGGTGACCAGATGTCCTGATTTTATAGGGACTGTGCTGATATTTGGGGCTTTTCCTTATATAGGCCTCCCACCCCCGTCCCGATTTTTCACACTTGCTGTCTGGTCACCCAGGGCGGGGGGGATTTAAACATTTCCCTGCAGCCCGAAAGGTCACCTTGAGAGTTCCCCTAGCAAGGAGTGTGGACGGGGGGAGGGATAGCTCAGTGGTTTGAGCATTGGCCTGCTAAACCCAGGGTTGTGAGTTCAATCCTTGAGGGGGCCACTTGAGGATCTGGGGCAAAATCAGTACTTGGTCCTGCTAATGAAAGCAGGGGGCTGGACTTGATGACCTTTCAAGGTCCCTTCCAGTTCTAGGAGATAGGATGACTCAGGGATGGGAAACAGGTGGGGGAGCCGCTCACCCGTTCATGAGGGAATGAAAACTATTACAGGCTGTTCAGTGGGCCGTGTAACAGCAGCTTGGTGGCTCAGACAAAGGCCAAGTGGCCAGGGATCCGTATTGCCTGTGCTTATTGGCAGCCTCTCCAGTGAGGCCAAGCACTGAATGGGCCGTGTTATTATTATTATAACATCTAGGATCCCCAGTCATGGCCCAGGACCCCATTGTGCAAGGCGCTGTACAAACCCAGGACAGAATGACAGGCCCTGTCCTAAGGAGCTGACCAGCCCTCCCCCAGGTCAACACCAACAGCATTACCTTACCCTGTGTGTATGGCGGGGGAAGCTGCTGCTACCTGGCCAGGCCAGTGCTGGGTTCAGGCCTGTCCATCCAACACCATTCTATAAACAACCGTGAAAGGGAGTTAGAGAGGTAGTGTTGTCTAGCAGCTAGGGCCCCTGCCTAGGAATCAGGACACCTGGGTTCTATTCCTCACTCTCCCACTAACCTGCTGCGTGACTGTGGGCAAGTCATTTCCCTGCTCACTAGGCCGCACTGCTGTCCCCCCCACTTAGAGAATTGTGTAGCTTTGTGTGTTTCAGACAAGCTGTCTGAATAAAGAATTATCCACCTGCAAACCCCAGTCAAGGTTAAGGGGGAAAACAAGACAAAAGCAGTGACTTGCTGGAGTGGAGAAGAAGAGAATGGGGAAAGGAGGGGAATGAATGACTAAAACAAGCCAGGAGGAAGGAAGACAGAAGAAGGAGCCACTGTGCTAGGCGCTGTACAGAGAAGACAGGCCCCACCTCAGAGAGCTGCCTCAGTTTCCCCTCCACCCCGTGACAAATCTGCAGCTAAAGAGGGGCTGTGGCTGGGGAGCCCTGGGTTTGGCACCGGTTTTAATTTGTTTCCTCCCATGTGTTTTAGGAAAACCAGATGGATTTCTGCTGGGACCCTCTGCAGGTCAGTGTGGGTTGGGTGGCCCTGGGGGTACATTGCACTTCTACAGTCTGGGAACCCTATGCTGAGCTCCTGGGAGAATGCAAGGCAGGGTGTGGCTGAAGCGGTGCCCCCTAGTGGATGCATGTGGTGGTTGCTATGCAAGAAGCTGTGCTTTTTGCGGGAGGTTGGCCAGGTTGGAAGTCCCAGGAAAACTGTGGCAAGTGGAGGAGGTAGGTTCAAGGTGATCACATCAGCTGGCCTTTGCTCAGCTCCGGCGGGGATGGGGAGGCTCTGGTGGGCCACAAGGCCGCCACAGGGTCCTCACCCTGAATGGGACCACTGGGCTTTCGTGGGACAGTGAGGTCCTGCAGACCCTAGCCAACGCAGGACTCTGTGCCAGCGGGTGTAGAACCAACCCTGCAGACTGGGCACAGCTGGGAGGTACCCGGCAGACACTGAGCATGTCCCTCCTCCCTCCACGCACATCTCTGTGAGTTTTGTAGGATTGGCTCGGCACCAAAGATCAGTCTACTCACCCGCCTGCAGGCTGGGAACCTGCTGCTTTATTTGACTGCATCACACCAGAGCATGGGGGGGAGGAGCAGGGGGGAACTACGCCAGACTAAATCGGAAAGTAAGGGCGGCATGGAGCTCCATCCCATAATACTCTGTGCAACCCAGTTAACCCCATGATGGCCACTTAACTACAGTTGCCCCTGGAGTTACCAGCACGGGAACTTCTGCAACCACCTTTGCAGCAGCAGAGCACACTAGACACGGTCCCACGAGCCCCCCTCACGAGTCCGCAGCAGAATGCCACCCATCCGTTACATCTCGTCCTGGCTGCTGGGTCCTCTGGGGGCTCCCCCGCCCTGGAGGCCCCCACCCCTGGCCTGCATGGGTCCCCTCTCTTAGACGTGGGGCTGGCTGAGGGTACTCGGCTCTCTCCCCGCTGACCCAGCCGGTCTTGCCAGCCTTTGCGTCTCTCCTCCCTCTGCAGAAATGTTTCAAGACATCCAGTGGGATCCTCTCCGATTCCAAATTCGGCTCCAGCGGTTACAACGTCACGGCCCTGGCGACCTCCTCTCTGGTGGGTAGGTAAAGACCATCCCTCCCTCCCGCCAGGCTCCGTCACCCCTGAGCCCTGGGTTGGCGTGACGGCCGAGCACAGCCTCCCAGAGGAGCACTGGTGCAAAGATGCAGGACGGGGCAGCCAGGCCAGATTTCCAGCCGAGCTCCCAGCAGGGGCTTCTCTGCCCCCCGTGTCGTTGGCGGGGTGAATCCCGGTCTCAGAGGAGCTTTCTGACAGGTTCGCCTGAAGGGGTCTCCTCATTCTTCATTCAAGTGGAGCTGGTCTGCTAGAGCCAGGGCCCGATCCCAGAAGGGGCCCGATCCCACCCCCACTGAGGGGTTGTCCAGGGGCGCCCATCCTCCCGCCGGATCGGGCCTCGGGGTGGACAAGAGCCATGCCTTGGCTCCAGGGAACAGAAAGGGGATTCTTTAGCGAGGCTGCTGGATACACCCAGCCCCTGCGAGCCTTTCTGACTCCCAGACTGGCTAACACAGCCCGCCCCGCCTCGTCACCGCCTGGGGAGTCCCTACGTCCTGACCTCGAAGGCTGAGGAGACTAAAGGGTCCTTGGTTCTGGTAGGGGTAGGGCCACTGCTCGGCCTAGGGGTAGAGCCATCCAAATCCTCTGGTCAATGCCATCGCGCCTTTCACAGCTCAGAGCCGTGGCTCTTGCAAGAAGCTAGCGCTGCCCATAACAACAAGCAGCCTCCCCCCTCCCCCCCCCAGGCCAGAGACCAGCGGGACCCACAGGCCAGGCTGAGCGGTTCTAATTGCTTTGGCCCTGGAGAGGGAAGAGGAGGGAAGGGAGTTTATCTGCTTCCAGCAGCAGCCCCGTCTGTCCCGTCCTCCCCGCCGTCCCCACCAGCTCCGGCGTAATTAATTGTGTGCGGTGGAGATTAATAAGGTGTTTGTTTCCATGGAAACTGCCAGCCGGCTGGCCCTGCTGGCCTGATTCCCTTTTCTCCATGAGGCCGGTGGCGCTGGAATAATGCCCAGAGCTGCAGCGGAGAAAGGGCCCCAGTGCCGGAGGCAGGACGATTCTGCTCGGAGCACGGCATGGGATGGGGGTGGGGGCAGACATGGCCCGGTCCATCCCCTCAGAGCATCACGGGTATCCGTTTGTTTGCCTCCAAAGCCCTCCCAGCCCAGTCCAGGCTCCCACCCAGCGCTGCTGGTGCCCCTCAGTCCCAACCCGCCTCCCCATCCTACTCAACGGCTACATGGAGCCATTCGGGGAGCTGGTAGGGCAGCCCGGACACAACAGCCAGCTCTCGCCGTGCCCAAGGCAGCACCTGGATGGCGAGCGGTGGGTGATGCTGGCCCAAGTGACTGAGGGGATGCTGGTGGGGAGGGGGATCTAGCATCTTCTCTGTCATCCCCCACTGCTGGGGACACCTGGCCTCAGGTGATTGCACAGCTCCCCCAGATGCTGCCAGAACCCCTCCCCCATCTGCAGCTGGCCAGGAGATGATGCCCCATCCCACCAGACACACACTTGGCCCCAGGGACCCCTACATTCCCGACCTCTAGGCCTGAGCTCTGCAATTCATTGTATCTAGGAATGGAGCCACACGCCCCGACAAAGCCCCAGATGATACAAAATACAGCAGCCCGTCTCCCTCCTGAACACAGAGTCTGGTTCAAGGTCTCTAGAGCCCTCCATGGGACTGGCCCTGGCTCCCTGGGAGATGCCCCTCCTGCCATGGCCTCCCACCACGGCTGTTTTCTGCTGTCATCACCTAGCACAACAGATAGAACCTGCTCAGGAGGTGACCCGGGCAGACAGATGTGGGGGAACACGGCTCACAGCTGTGGTGATGCAGGGGGCAACACTCTGACCAGGGGTCAGGTCTTCAGGACCCAGAGCCCCTGGAAATCCCATGAGACCGTGGGGAGCTTCCTATTGGCTTAGCAAGGGGGAAAAACCACCATGAAGTTTATGATAAAAAGGGTAAAATAACAGAAATGGTGATTTTTAGCAAGGTACCAGGAGCTGGATAGCACTGGAGAGATGCTTCGCCTCCTCTTCTATCCACTTAGGGCTGGGCCAGCAGGTCTCCTAAACAACCACCTCACACTAGAGAGATAGCAGCTGGAGGCTTTTATTATCCGCTCCCCAATTCTGGGTGGGGCTAGGGCCATTCGGAGGCGTGGCCAATGCTTTAGCCACGCCCCTTCCTCCAATTTAAAAGGTTGCTGCTATCTCAGCCAGGACTGCATATGGGGGCAGCTTGTCCTGTTTGCCCTGCTGCAAGAGCTCCCGGTAGAGTCCGAAAGGCCTGGAAAACCAGTTAAATAGTCCAAGCCCTGTGAGACCGAGTCAGCCGGCACAGACCAGCCCCGAGCATCTAATTGCAATGTAGACATTCCCTTGAGGGCTTCACTTGGCTTTGGAATCACCCCTGGGTGAGCTGTCCAAAATGCGAGCACCGGGAAATCGGGATCCAGCCCAGGTCATTAAGAGCCGTGACTACCTGAAGACTGGCCCGTATGTAATGATGCGTTTGAGGGGGCTCAGTCCAGTTCCTAGTGAACTGGTGCCCATCATCCCAGCTGGCACTCAGCAGAGAGGCTGATCCATGAATGAATGAGCCCTGGAGACTGACTGTCCCTCTGGCCCCAGAGGCAGGGCGGAGGGGCACGGTGCTGCTCTTGTTTGGGCTGGAGCTGAGCTGGGGTCAGTGGTAATTTGTCGATCCAGCTCCTTGCACCAGTGCTAACTTCACTCTTGAGAAGAGAAATTCTGTGCCGTGCAAGGTAGCATCTTCTGGCGTGGAATGAAAGGGTACGTCTACATGGCCGCTAGACACCCGTGGCTGGCCTCCCTCCTCATGGGGGCCCAGAGCTCAGGCTCCAGCCCTGGGAATGTCTACGTGGCAGTTTTATAGCCCTGCCACCCAAGCCCCACTGGGGCCAGCCGCAGGGGTCTAATACCCAGACTCTAGTGCCACTTGAATGCCAGGATTTGCTGTGCTCTGTTGAGGGTGGCGGTTAGATACCGCGTCAGTGCACCCGCAGAGAGCTGCATTGTTTGCCCTGGGAAGTGTCACGTAACTCCCTGCTCAACGAGACATGAGAAAATGGAGTTGCTTCAGGGAAATAGCCCCAAGTTCCAGCCATGCAAAAAGCGCTGTGTGAAGTGCTGCCGCAGGCCTGCAGGAGGCGCTCTTGCTGGGAGGAAACATTACCCCACCTTGCCAAGGGAGGGTGCACCTGGGAGAGGGGCAGGCTGGGAGTGCCCCAGGCTGAGGTCGGTTCAGGCAGAGGCGATGGTGTACTTCAGTTCCAACCTGCACGAGCCCCGTCCCCTGCTATTCCAGTCCAGGGCATCCTGCAGGTAGCTCTGCCAGTGCCCCTCAATCCTGACCCGCAGCCCCCCTCCCCCTCCACTCC